CCCCAAAACCCCAAAACCCCATAAATAAAAATCTTAAAAATTAGACTAATTTCAAATCAAAATCAAATTAAATCATATATTGCAATTTTTAGCTTCTCCAACTAGTCCACTTATAATATCTGGGATCATTTTTCTCCTTCTTAAATCTTTCTCTTAATGAGCTTTGATGTACTAATGTTTGTTCAAAAGCCTTTTCTTTACTTGTATTGATTTATTATTGCCTGGTATGAATTATCTGGATTTTAAAATGCTATTAGCAATAGATCTTTAAGTAACTGTACCAAAATTAAAAGCCTTAATCTCAGTCATTTAAGTTGTTTCAATTTCAAGATCTTTTTCTTTGATAACTATGTCTTAGTTATGAGCAATATCTGATCTCTGTCGAGAGTGAAAAGAGTTAACTACTCTTCTTCGCTAATTGTAAAATGAAGTACTTAAGTTTCTACTCTGATTATCTTCATTCTAATCTGCTTTTCTAGGGCTGAAATTTTCAAATTCAGAGTTAATTGCAAATGTCTAATCAGTAGGCCTTGTTCTATCCATAGTTAAGGTAAAACCTCTATCAAATCCAAATGCCTTATTCATAGAGCCCTCTTTTCTTTGCACATGAAATGAGCCTCCATGAATATGTGAACTTTTTGGAGATATCTAGAACTCACTTAAATTTCCATCTCTATCAACTTCTGATACCTTCTAGTTCTCAACTTCACAAATCAGCCTAATCTATTTCTTAAGTCTTGCCTTCACTTTTGGTATTGCACCTTCAACCCAGGGGTAAATCTTTTTCGTTTTCTATAGATAGGTTAGGATTAATTCAATTGATGATCTTCTTAAATAGGGCATAAATTGGAATATTTGATTACCGAAGTGATATAGAAGTCTCTCATATCCCTAGGTAGATAATTAGTGTTAGCTGCATTTAAAAATGCGTTTTTCTATTATCATTAATAGTACTTTGATTTACCTTGATCTTTTGAACTTGCTCAAGTACTTCAATACTTCTTTTAACTTCATCTTCATTAGGGAACATAACAGTACTCATTAACATCAATTTCTCTGTGTCTTACTTTGTAAATACTGCAAGAATAATTAATCAAATAACTATGACTATTACTTACTTTTACAGTAGTCACGCTACTAGATAATAAGTACTTTAGCTCCTCCAGGACTGTCAGCCAAAGCACTGACCGGGTATGCGTCTCCTTTTATGAACTCCCTTTCTCCTAGAATCTAGACTCCTGAAACTTCTCTGATTTTAAAGAGCACCTTCTTTCTTATTGCTGTTGACTCCCAACCTGTAGCTGTTACAGGCCAGAAATTTTCTTTCTCAATGTAAACTTCTTTTTCAAGCCTTATTGTTCCACTGACTAAGATATAGAAGCAATTATTCCCTCTCATACCATCATGAAACAATACTTCATCTTTCTTGAGATATCTTTCTTTAAACATCGAAGCTACTCTTTTAAGCTTTTCCTAGTCCCAGTTCTGAAATAAAACGAAGTTTTTCTTCAGTAGCTATCTTCTTCTCTTCCATATTAAGTTTATTTCATCAGTTAATGTTTCGTAATACTTTTCCTTACTGATTGACAAAGTATAGCAGTCATCTGAAAGTACTACTGCTTTATCCTTAAAAGGCAGTACATTGAGATTAAGCTCAGGGTCACAAATAACAACACCAGTATTGAAAGTATTTGAATTTATATACTTTGACCTTTCAACTTCGTCCTATTCATTAGGCAAGTCATAAAATAAAGGTTTTGGGAGTTGTTGATAAACACCAACTTAGCCAAAGCAAATGACATGCAAGTACTCAAGATCTTCATTCTCGTGTTTAAGTATATGCCCTTTTTAAAAAAGCATTGGCTATAATCTCGCACAAATGTCCTCAATCATAAAGTCTTAGAATCCTGAACAAAGCTGAGGAATTGAGCCTTTCCTATCTGTTCTTAAAGAATGAGTTCTCAGGTTTTTCGAACTGAAGCTTTGACTCGACTTTATCTAGAATGGTGCTCCACAAGCTTTAAGAAAATTCATTACTATCTATTTCTCCTCAAGACTAAGATTGTTTCTCCAATCAACATTATTTCTATCAGAGTCAAATTAGCACTTGGAAATAATCTTATGGGCTTTTAATCCAATTGACTTTAACTAGCTAGCAAATTAATACCCTCTTTGATGTCTGTCAGTTAAAATTGAGTTAAATTTGCTAGTATTTATCTCATATAATGGTTTAAGCATTTCAGTTTTGTTTTATTCAAAACTTTATTCGAATACCTAATTTTTGCGATAGTACTTGTTTTATTCCTTGCTTAGATCATTTTTCTATTCAATTTAAGTTTTTCTTGAACCTGATTTAGCCGATTTAAGGCTGCTCTCTCATTGTGATTAAACATTTTAAAGACTTAGTTCATTACATTTTCGATATAGATTAGTCCTATTAAAGTGCTCTGTCATTTTTTGCATTAGAGTTACAGGCTAAATCATGCTATTTATCTTCGTGTTTTCAATTAAATCACATTCTGATTAGTCTGATTTTTCAAGTAACTTGTCGTTGATTTTAATATTTTCTTCAACATCTTTAAGCAGCTTATTAATCCTCTCATCAGTGTAAATTGAATATTATTTTTACCTGTCTCTTTGCAAAGGTTTGCGAGTAGTCTAGTAACTGCTCCAAGACCTTTACTTCTATTTATTAGATTTGATACTTGCTCTTTTTTCTGAATTTGCACCACTAACTTCCTCAATCAGATTTTGATTTTATACTATGATTTTATTTTGAAATTTGCTCTTTTTAAAGTTACTAAGTGTCTACTCTTATTGCTAGCATTACCTTTAATACTCATTTGGTGTCCTCACTTTGCTAGAATTTCTAATAAGTTGATAATCTGTCGATGACGAAGATGAGGATAAGTTTGCTTGTCCTTGATGGTTTTTTGTATTTTTAGAATCAATATCCATTAATAATATCGATTTAATTATTAAGCTGTTATTGTTTCCTCAATTTTTATTATTTTTTCTCTAGGGGTTTTGGGGTTTTGGGGTTTTGGGG